GATCTGAGAAGAAAAAGCTGCAAACTTTGTTCTAGCTTGAAATTATAGAAGAAAAGCAGGAACTGAGCTGCTCGTTTTATGCTAGAAGAGCAGGTTTGTATTTACGTTGCAGAAAAAACTTGAAGTATTGCATTGCATGATCCCTTTTGTCTTCATTATGGGCGTAGAATAGGTGTACACTGAAGGCAAAATATCACTCTAGTAAATTGTTCTGAAGTTATGGCAGCAAAACAAAATTACGGAGCTTGTCCTTATTATTCATTACTCCTGTGGAACAGGTGTATGGAAGTTGCTCTGCAAGCAGTGTTGTGAGTTTTTACGTAAGTTCTTAAAACTTTACAACCTCTCTTTTATGGGAAATAAGCATTCTGTTGTGTAAGGTGGTTTTCACGAGTAGTTCAAAACTTTTTAAATTTTATGCAGACGGACAATAATCTAATATGTAGTAAATCAATGTCTTTAAGCAAATGTGGTATCACTTTGGTACTTGTCAGTAACTGTCCCATTCACGGTATTTAGTCATTCTGCCTTTCATTAGCCTTTCTCAGTTGCCTTGAATAATCTGGAATATTTATTAATGTGTGCTCTGTTGTGGAATGTTCTGATTTTAGTTACGTGACTATGTTTAAAACTGTAGGAGTTCAGGGGATGCTTCTCCACATGCAGCAATTCACTGTGAAAATAGGAAAATAAAGGTACAGTGATTCTGAGAGAAGATGCAGTTTTTAAAGGCAGTGTTAACACTTTTGCCTCTAGGTATCTCAGCAGTAGGACTTGGAAGTATGGAAGCTTTTGTTCCACCTCCTTTTTTCCCCAGGTATTTTCCAGAAATCTAACCTCCATGTTGATAAGTCTCATAATGAGAGTTCTAATGTTGAACTCTATTTTAGTGCCACTGCTTGATTCTGTTGGAGATTATTTCTGTGTAACTAAAGACTAGTTTAAAAATGACTTCGATATTTTGCTAAATAAATCTGCAAGAACATCTGTTTTTTGTGTAGTAGATGCTTCCAAACGATGCCAAATATTATGTAAATTTGTTTACTGCATGCTGGCTTCATTTAGTTCAGGAGATTAAATAAGAAATCCTAAATTACTTGTCATATGAACACTGAAATGCCTGTGCTCTACCAGATTCTTTGTGTTGCAAACCCACTGCCAAAGCATTTCCTATAAACTTGTAACTTTCCTTGTTATATCTTTCTAAGCTCTGCAGATCAGGTATGGCAGAATAAATATATATCCTAATCATATAAATAAAGTTTTCATATATTTCAGTAATACTTTTCTGAGTTCTTGATTAAAAAAGTATTTTTGTACACTTTACATAGCAAAGTTAATACTGTTTGAAAGTTTAATTTACAAAAGGTGCAATTACCAATTTTCAGGTTGGACTATTAAAATAGTTCACATAATGCTAGAGGTTGGTATTATAGGTCCTTTATTACACAGAGGTGCTTTTGGCTGGCAGTTTTTAGTCCAAGTTGGAAGTGTTCAATTTTTGCTTCTTCTGTACCAGCAGAGCAGCATTCTGTATTGAATGGAGTACACTACCAGTCCTTTTCATCTGGAAAGGTTGAGTAAAGTTATCACTGGGATATCGCTGGGAAAAAATGGATGGAACCTCCTGACAGTGGAGAATTTCTTCTTCTGGAGAAATTAATGTCAGTGCTCCTTTGCACTGGAAAGGGACAGAAGTCCTTGAACTTGTCTGTGGTCCATCTGGTGATAAGGCAGGGATGAATTTAAAATTTCAGAAACTTCATTAAAAGTCTGGCTGTTGTAGTTTCTGAAAGCTGACTATATTTACTAGTAATCAAAAAGGCTCCTTATTCTCTGATATTTATGTTTACATTTTATTATTAAAAACTGCTAATAAAAATCAGATTTGATTTCTTTTAGACCAGTTGTTTGTTTGAACATTTCTAGAGCACTTTTACAATTTAGCATACTACATTTAAACTTTATTTACAAGAGTCTTGCAGTAAGGAGCGTCTTGGGAATTTTTTGAGACATGAACTGAGTGGTACTTTGTTTTTCTGAGAACACCTTTCAGGAATTTGGAAGCAGTCTAATATGCAAATCCTCTGTCTCAAACAATGAACCTCTTAAAAAAAACAAAAAAAAAAAACAAAAAAAACAAACCCAAAACCAAACTGTGCTTAAACAGTTTGAATCCTTCTTGATTTTTTTTTTTTCTTCCCTCTTTTAAAGGTGCATTTGAGCTTCTTAGTGTTTCTCCATCGGTTAGCAGAAGAAGCCAGGACAAATGCTTTTGAGAATAAAAGTAAAATAATTAAACCTGAGCACACTATAGCTGCAGCAAAGGTAATAAAGCATTTTTAATATTTTTCTTTTTTGTAATGTAAAATGTATGATGACAGCATATACGAAAGTTTTCTGTGTTAGTGTTGATATTTATAATCCAAAACCTTCAGAAACATAATGTTCTTTAATCCATTATTGGCATAATTCACCGTTACCAAGACATCAAGTTAACTCTCCTTGCTCTGTTAAATATAGCCCTATTTTTCTTGATTATTCCATGTTTAAATGCATAGTTTCAATATGTGGGTAAGTCTACACAGTAGTCTACCAGCAAGCATCCATGGGCTGAAAGCCCAGGGAACTGGAACAAATTCCGAAGTTGGAGGATCTTTATTTCAGATGATACTATACCAAGGAAGCATGCTGTCGTGACTTCAGTAATATAAATGAAGCTTTATGGAACAAGTGAGAAATAGTTCAAAGAGGCTGAAATATCTTTCTGACAACCTTCAGTTCTTACCTGCTTAGTCTGAAGGATGTTTGAAGTGTATTCTTGCAGCATTGTGTGGATACAGATGCTTTGTATGATGTTGTGTTCATCAAGGGAAGAACTAAGGATTAAACTGTGGATTGCTATATGGGTAGTTCAGCATAACAAAAATTGCTGGATGAATATCAGTGATGAGGAATCCTCTGCATTACAGAGCACGGTA